CTTCCTTTTTTTTTAGCACAGCTCCGGAGATTTAAACTCGGTTTTTCCCGTATAGAAGGAAGGATGTATGAGACATGTAAGGAAGCTGTCTGTGTTCAGAACAACTGATTAGAGATCAGTAAACTTCTGCAAAGGCTGCTGTAGTTCAAAGGATACCGTGCGTTGGATCCATTCAGGAAAACCTCCCCCCCACCATGTCATTTTGTTGCTTTTTTTTATTTTAAGAAAAATACATTTCTCCAAATGTTATACAATTTTAGCGTTTGTTACATACACGTATCAACAGAAAGTAAGGGCAATAATGCACCTTTCTGAAAAATGAAAATTCAGAATGAATAAACTGAGGAAGGGAGTGGTTAAATAAAACGTGTTTCTTTCCATCTCTGTCTGCCTGACTCTCTGCTTTATGGCCATCTAATTAAGTAAACAATGGACTGCACAGATTTTCTTCCCTTCTTTCTTTCTTCCTTCCTTTCCTTCTCCCCTCTCCCTTTTCTTGTGATGTACTCATTGATAAAGAATTTTTTTTCTATTTGTTCTGTATCTTTGGACAAAGGGCATGCAAACTACAGTTTGCTCCCGTGGAGATTTCAAAAATATGAAATGATTCACAGAAATGTTTTCAATTTCACAGAAACGTACACTGAAAAATATTATTACTTCTCCTAGAGATACAACATTGTAAGTGAAATGTTATTAGGAAAAGTCTTTTATTTTACATATTGTTTTAGGTGAATGGAATTAGTTTGTAAAGGGGGATGAACAATAGTGAGATACAAACGGTTGGTTGTCAACAGGTCAAAAATAACGAAATATTGGCTATCCTGCATGTATTTAGTACTACAACCCTGATTGAGACAGGCCACCCTCTAGTGGACTAAAGTGAAATGTGGCTCTCATTTCGCATAGGCTGTGTTTGAAGAAAGGCTCGCAGTTGTGTCTAGTGATAGTACAAAAACATTTCTGAAGATTAGCAAACAATGTAAATTAAAGCACGTTTGCAATGGCAATGGCACCAAAATTCTATTATAAAATGGTTATTATTTTATGAACTCTCTATATTATTTTGATTCACTTTGAGATTGTGCAATGCATTTTTGTTTTTATTCTCTAAGAAAATGATTTTATACTTTATACAATCACTTATTATGAAAAGTGAATTAAAGTGATGCCGTCTTATTCAATAACTATCACTTTGTTATATTTGGTTAGGGTAAATTTTGCAAAACCAATCCTGATTGACTTACTGGTACTTACAATAGTTGGGCAGTAATGAAGCACTTTGTTTTCCTTCTCCCTCAAATTTTTGGATGCTGCACTTGAGGTAATATCGGGACCAATGATTAAAATTCTTTAAAGATGTCGGTAGTTCAGTTTTTATACCACATGGATAGCTGAGTAGGGCAATCTCATATATGAAATAAGGGCTCTTAAGTGGCAGGCTGCAAATTCATGAAATATTCAAGTGTGGGAGGAATGCTGTTTGGCCCTTCCATTTGCTCCAGTTCTCTTATTACAGACATTATAATTTTTTCTACTGGGAGTTAAAGGAGTAACAGGCAATATAACAAAAACACTTGGTGTCGACCCATCTTTGGCTACCTCTCAGTTCTTCTTGCCCTTACCTGGGGGCTGGGAATAGGTGCTGCTGTGGAGAATGCCTCAGGCCAGAAAGATTTCACGTCACCTCCTTTCTGCAAGCTCAGGGTTCATCAGTGAAATCTTGTCTCTCCTTTGCCCCTATGAGATAATTCTTACAGCCTTTGATAGTACTATTCACCGCTATGAGCTGCAAATAGAAAACATTGTATACCTAATGCTTGAAGCCCTCCCTGCCTCCTGATGTTCTCTACCAAATGCTACACAACATGCTCACTTTCTAATGGGACAGTGCTCCGGATGATGTAAGGAAAGTGCAACCGAAAGCCAGAAAAATAAGACTTCTTGCCAAGCTTGCCTCAACAGGAAAAACAGAAATCATTTGTGATCCCAGCCGTGTGATTAGTCACATCTATACCATGACAAGAGATGTAAACCTGTGCTACAGGGATGAGGTGGGGTAGAAAAGAGAAAATAAGAGATTTTCAAAATCTCTGGGCAAAAATTAAAATAAGGAAAGTGTTCTGTCAGAGCAAACTAGGGAGTGCTATTACTTCAATGGAAAAGCAGAAGATCTGTGGATGAGGGAAAAAGTGGAACTACCGTTGTTCTACATGAATGTGCTCCTGCATTTTGCCCCTAATCTCACATAGTCGCTGTCCTTCATTTAAAATCTGGCTTTCTGGTTAAAATGAGAATCATGCAAAAACAGATTCAATGATTTGACATGTGAAATTCAGATGTGTTTTTTCCTACATGAAGGCTGATTGGTATGGCCTATGTAATTGGAGGGCTAACTAATGAAATCAGTTAAAGCATACTCATAAGAGAATGAGTTGTTATGATAGCGTATATATGCAATTAAAATATCTCCTTGATGGAAGTACATTTACATGTTAACTAAAATATTATGATATCATCATAAAGTTTTATTTTATAAAAAAGTGGAATAATTGAATTTTTCTTTTTTTCTTTTTTTTTTGCTAAGGAATAAATTTTTTTCAAATTATCTGCAGAAGAAAAATACCCTTTATAACTAATACAATTATCATGATTAAGATTCATTAAGCTATTTTTCTGCTGATTTTACTACAGTGTTTGCTGCTTTTAAAATAGCAACGTAATCTATTTCATCAGAATTATATGTATAGCTTATTAGGTTACAGGATAGAAAAGAATCCCTTAGACTGGGAGAGATATGGTGAAAGTAATGTGTGCTAACTCCAGGTATTTATTTTGCATGCGTTTTTTCTGATTACTGAGTGCACATGAAAATAAACTAAATAATTACTTGTTTTTAATGTATAATTAATGATGCATTAAAACTTTAGTTATTAAAATATAGTGGGTTTTTGTGCATGCAATTTTGATAAAGTTGGAAGGAGATTTCAAAACTTTTTTCTGTTTTTGTGATATAAAAAGGATGGAGTATCTCTGGGCTTTATCATTAATATGCTGTATGCTTATTGTGGTTCCACGAATTAACGGTGACCACCTCCAGTATTTTTCGGCACTGAGAACACAGCTCCATTGTGGAAACCAGCAAGTATAGTTAAAGACTGAAATAAAATACTCTGCAGTTAAAATAAAAAGCCAAAAGTATGTGATTTAAGTTATAAGGTGAAGCACTTCATATTAGGAATTAGCAATTAAAAAAATATTTTTAAGTAATCATCTACACAGTTTTTGCCCAAGAATGAAAGAACAGGCACTTTTTGAATAGCTTTATTCATTATTGAAATACATGCCCTCCTCATCGTTTCTGAGGTGCCATAACTACAAGTAAGAGGGCTGAGTGACGGCTCTTTGCTCTCTTTCTTCTTATAGCCCTTAGAATAAAAAAGAAAGGAGCTGATGTTTAAGACTAATTCTCACCATTTCTTCAAAGCATACCATTAGTGTATCTTCCATGTGAGGTGTGGGGAGGTATTCTTTTCTGAAGCAGGTTTCAGAATTGCTCTGAGGCAAGAAAATCTCTCCTGTGACTTCCTCAAGGTTATTAACAATAGCTATTATTATGGTTATTATTTATTATATATTAGTTATTATAACTATAGTTATTATTAACTATAGGAGTTACGATGCCTGATTTACTTGGAAGAGAGACATATGTGGCACCACTTCCTGTAACCCCATTCTACCAGCATTTTCAGTGCTGCTTATGCAATGTCATCAACCTGACACTATGTACGTTTTCTAGTATGGCAGCACCTAGCTATTGACATTTTCCTAAAAGTTATGCTTCCATGTAAACAAGTAAAAACTTGCATTAAGGTATCTCCCACTAGAATTGAACCATTTTGTCAATGACAAGCAAAAGCCAATGAAGTTCATTGTCTTTTTTGAAGATGAAAGACTTGTTGCCAGCAATGGTAAGTTCAGGTTTCTACATATGGCTGTAATTCATATGGGAAATGTTATGCTCAGATCACTTAACCTGCTACCAGCTTTCTTTTATCAAACCTCTGAGTTAGTGTTGATGGGATAGAAATAAAGCAGATGGAAACAAATTTAGGCCATTAACCTGAGGAGAATTTCACATAAGGACAAGTTCATATCCATACAAAGCATCAGCCACTTCATTAAAAGCTACGTAGATGTTAGTTCTAAGTATATATAACAGCAAAGTCTGGAACTGCATCGTAAAAGCAGCTGTATAGCACAGGCAAAGTCAAGCATGTGTAATGTGGATGAATGAAAGCAGTGGTGATGAGCTGATGCTTATCTTGGTGATCGAGGGGATTTTGCAAATTCCAGCAAATTCTCCTATTCATGTAGCAACCGTGTTCTAAGAAACAGAAAGGACAAGATCGCAGGCGAGGCCAAAGCTATAGTGAGCCTTCCTCAGGAACGGTCTGAGGTCTGAAAAATCTTAACATATTTTATACTAGCGCCTAGAGGACCCCTTGTAGAACTCAGGCTGATAACAGAGTTCTTTTGATTTTCATCCTTGGGTCTATTTTAATAGGCAAGAATCTCTCCCATTCCAGCATCCGCTGAAGGCTGGAAATGAGTCACACACAGCAACCACAACCTGTCTGTGCCGCGTGGGAATCTTAATGAAGATGAAGTAGTGAAAAGCAGCTAGAGAATTCTTATGTGCAGCTGGATTAGATGGATAACATACCGTATCTGTAAATAGGTTTTCAAACTCATGTATTTCTTTTACACGAATGTTTTCCTTTTAAAAATTGGTTTTATCTCAGTATGTTTTTGTCTGTCTTGTGTTGTCATCTCTTGTCAGTTCTTGTAAACTGTGATAATTGGATGTAATTTTATAATTTATTGGGGTCTTCTAGGTTGTTAAGTCTGAGATTCCTGTGTTGATTTCATAAGGA